AGTGATCAAGAGTAGCTTTGGAGAATTGAACAGATGGCTTGGAACCAATAAGCAATTTGAGAGCTTTCCTTGAATAAAATGGATTTTCAATTCCAACAATTCATTGAATATTCAGTCATAATAAAACCCATATATGTCTCTGGCTGGCAAAGTGATCGGAGGTCTAAAAAGCTAATTTTTCTTGCCATTTTTTCCCCAAAAAAACAAAAAATGAACGAACTGCTCAGCAAGCCTGTCAACGAACTCACAGACGAAGAATGGAAGCAAGTCCAGCAATTAAAGAATAAGAAGAAACCTTCTATTCCATTCTCCAAAGCTACCTGCAACGACTGCGTTCGAAGCGATGGTCTAGCCTTGAACATTGACTACGCAACTATTGATGTTCCTTCGTTGCACATCCCAACTTCATTTCCTACTCCAGTTGCGAGCGATTTCTTGTGCGAGAACCTCAGCAGAATCAAGACCGTGTGGGTGCTAGACAACGAGAAGGCCTGTCGAATTGTCATTGATGCGATCCTAACAGAAGTTCTATTGGCTGAAGCGAATGACAACCTGATGGGATTCTGTGAAGTCAAGAATGATTGGGAAGGAACTGGATTCGGTTACACTGGCGATGTGGACTATATGTTTGGGTCTTCAGATACCAAATCCGTGGATACTATGGACTCTTTTCTTTTGGTGGTGGAGGCAAAGAAAGAATGGCCTGATAGTGCAATTCCTCAAGTTCTCTGCGAAGCTGGTTGTTTGCTCAAGAAACGACTGGCTGCTGGAAAGGAGACTCCTGTATTTGCTGTTCTGACAAATGGGCTTCTCTTCCGCTTCTTTGCTATTGATATTGATGGGATAGTGTATGCTTCCACCATTCGTCTATTGGAAATTGGACAAGACGGTACATACGACACAAGCACATCCCTCTCTGAAATCCTTCGCTGGTTCACTTGGTTTATGACATCCATCAAATCCGTCTCTCTCCGTGCGTCCAGCGAGGATTTGACCGACACAATGATTGCTGACTCGCTCACTCATCTTAGAAGCTGCTTTGGCCCAAAGTTTCCGATTCATAGCAATAAGGTCAAGAAGGCCAAGATTCGCGAGTAGTATTGCTAAATAAAAATAAATGTTATTTAATAAATTGATTGGCAATATAAGCAATCTGACCAAACATATGTGTATCCGCACGTTTGCATTTCGGTATGGAAGACCCAGAAACCTCAGCATAACCCACGACAAAAAACAGAGTACAAGGATAGCATGAAAGCTACCAATCACTTTGGGACTCCAATTCTGATTACGTTCTGAATCAAAATAAAAGTAGATGGATGCATTAACCAAAAATTCTTATCGGAAACATCCTCAATAACTTTCAGGAAAAGTTCTACCCTCAAAAAACTGGTATCATTCGGTGTCTTATACATACTACTCCTGATAAAACAATCTCTGACTCGAGCAAGTGCATGTATGATTTTAGGGTTGCTTGAAAACAAGGAAGGATGATCGGATAAAATGTACTAGATTGTGATACTTTTACGGGCGTGCTCACCTAAAATAGGACAAGGGATTCTGTGCACAATAACCAGCCGTTTATGCAATGACAGTGCCAATCTCCATCAAATCTACTCGACAAGATTGTTTTTGAATTCATTGACAATTCACTAATCTTTCTCCACGCTCATGTTGTATAACTGAACAAATGTCTGCATCACAATGTCAGTAAATCCCACACTTGTTTAATCAATTATTATGTTGTATAAACCAAACAGGTTGTCATTGGGTGGTTGGCATGGAGACAATAGCCGCATCCTGAAACATGCAATCATTGTTCTCTTGAACTAGATCACAAACACATTTGATATTAGGATACAACAGAGCTTCAATAAAAGAAATCAATATCCAATAACAACAAATATGTAATGATTGTTTATTTGAGAGTAAAATCCAGTCATTACAAGATCAATACAGAAAGTGGTTCATTTTACGTGAATACGACTGTAAAATGTCGTTTTGGTAATTAATTGAACCGTTTAATTGACTTGCTGATCAGAATGAGCCCGTATAATGCTCAAATTGTTATTTTTAATTACAATCTTCAGATTGAACACTGTAACTCCGATTTGATTTTTTACTTGAATATTTTGTTGGATTGGTTTTGAAAGTGTGATTACAGCTAGAGTCAAGGGGCGTGAAAATGGAGATAAATGAAGCATTGCCAGCAACCATCACCATCAGTGTGTATCATGTGTTTAAAAAGTACTTTAATGTGATTAAACTGGCACTATTTACCATACTTGAATAGGCTACTGCTAGACCATTGTACACGATTACGTATTCGACTACTGACATGCATAACATGTTCAACCACAATATATCATCAAGTATTACATCACAACACATGTAGTCATTGACTTGAGATCTGCAACTCTGTACCACACCAACAATTGGAATGACGATCGCAATCATTTATTCCATCAAATGATCAACTATAATACAATAACATGATGGCATTCATTGACAGCTGTCGTGTCCATCACATGTATGATACTGTTCATTTATACATGAACAATGCAGCCATATTTGCAGGTGAACCCACATTCTGCATATTTGACTATTTTTAACATCATCGACCACTGCCTCTGCAACAATCGGAATGCAACACCATCTTGTAATGGTCAGATCTGTTTGACTGGTCATTGTCATGACTGTTGCCATGACTCTTTGCAATGCTTTGGATAGTCCAAGATTAAACTGGTATTGACCATTTCAATTATACAACTCATATCTGAAACCAAGCAATTGATGCATTACCAGTTTAATGTTTTGTCGAGATTGCTTGCTTGATAACATTTTCATTTGTCGTATTCTTCCATTGCCCATAATTAATGCTATACATTTTATCCGATTTCCAAGTTGGCTATACAGTTGTAGCCAATCAACACGCCTGCTTACTATCATCCTGCTTTTGCTTATCAACTCAAAATCTAGTCATTTCGAACTTGAAATGAACAAGGCATATTGCAATCATTCATGATTACAAATGGCATGGTGATATAACACACTTGGTATATAAACAGGCATGTCATCAATTCAAGTAACTCAAGCCACTAATAGTGTGTCCACTTTTGAGTACTCGATTGATTCATGCTCCAATGAGTCTTGCTTCAACATATACAGAGCATGCATACAGTCAATACAAACAAGGTTGTTAGTGGTGTGAAATGGACGTTTCATGTATATGCCAAGCACTCATTCGATGTTATACCAGCCCAGTTTTATCTGTCTGAATTCGGCATTTGACTCGCAATGCACGAATTTGGAGTGTATGCAAGCTGCACATGATATGGCGCATTCCAGCAACATGCATTAATTTCTAGAGTTTAACTGATTTACAATTGAAAACGGGTATCGGTGCTACATCCAACTACAACTGCAATCAAGTTCCTTTGAATTTTCCATACATACAATTAATCAAAAGTAATACAGCAATACATCCGCTTCAAATATATGGCTTGGGTGCATGTAATTTGTAGGCACACGCATCATCCACATATGACATTGATGTGCTTTTTGGCTAGCATATATGTTTGGGCTATCAAACTATTGCATAGCATGCTTTGTAGATTCGAAATATAAAACAGCGTCAAGTCGCATGAAATGGCATACAATCAATCTTACCAATATCCACCATTGTACCAGCTTAATCCTATACTTGCCACGTACATACTGCAAGATACTAAACCACACAATGTTTGTTTCTACCGTTTCTTTCGTGCTCGCTCTTGCCACCTCTGCAGTTTTTGCGGTTCCAACCATTCCGTCCACACAAGACGCCTCTGACAGTCTTCCATTTTACTTTCCCGAATCCACGTACCAACAGATTCCTTATGATCACTCATCCAGCCTCATGGCTCCGTCCAATACCGATCCAGTCAAGACTGGTGTTGCGTATCTCTGTGACAAACTCAATCTCACACCTAACGAGTTCAAGGTTTACAATAACTTTACGGACAGTGCTGGCATAACTCACGTATATGGTGCACATCTAGTTAATGATGCACGTGTATCCAACCACCAAGCTGCAATCCATATCCAAGACGGCCAAATTATCTCATATTCGACTTCGTTTGGTACTGAAAGCCATTTTTCCAAACGTGAGCTTTCAATCGCAGAACCCAAAGCCAAACTGACGTTTGAACAGGTTGCGGATGCTATATCCAAGGCCAAGGGTCTGCCAGTTTACTCTGAGTTTAAACATGAGTTTGAATATGTTCAACAAGAAGATGGCACGCTTGTGTATGCTTATAAATTCGAGCTTCGCGACAAGAATGTTATTTCATGGATCCAAGTTTGGGCAGATACCAACACTGGTATGGTATTTCGGGTTCAGATATTGGTTTTTATAGAGTCGGCACTAATCTGAATGTAAATGGATTGATATTAGGCAAACTGGTTCAAGTTGTTGATTTTAGTCGTGGTGCAACATACAAGGCTATTTTACCTACTAATATCAATCCCAATCAAGGTGGTTTCACCAACATCAAAGATCCAGAATACAAACCATCGTCACCTAATGGATGGACTAATGGAACTGTCACTGAGGGTAACAACGCCAAGACTATTGACTCTACAAAAAAACCGCCCGTTCCAGCAACCGGTGTTGATGGTGTATTCGATAGCAAGTTTAATCCTGCTGCTAATGTTACCGATCCAGACAACATGCAAGCAGCTGCTGTCAATCTGTTTTATCTTGCTAACCTAATGCACGATATCTCGTATCAGTATGGTTTCACCGAGGTTGCTGGCAATTTCCAAAATGACAACTTTGGAAAAGGTGGTAAGGGTAACGATGCAGTCAATATCAATGTCATGGAGACTTCGGGTTCTGAAAATGCTCTTTTTTTGACTCCACCTGATGGTCAGCCTGGTAGAATGGCAATGTTTCGATACACTTCTACTGAGCCCAATCGCAATCCTGGTCTTGACAGCCAAATCGTTGTACACGAATATGGACACGGTATTTCAAGTCGTTTGACTGGTGGGCCTGCAGCAGATGAGTGTTTGTTCGACGGTGAGGCTAGAGGTATGAGCGAGGGTTGGTCCGACCTATTTGCCATGATCGTAACTGCCAAAGAATCACACAAAACCGACACTCCAATTATCATTGGTACATATATTACCAATTCATCCACCGGTGTTCGCACTCGTCCTTACACTACTGACATGAAAGCCAATCCCTTCACATATTCAGATATTGGAAATAATCAAAAATCTTATATTGTTGGTGAAGTGTGGGCTTCTATGCTCTGGGAAGTCTACTGGAACTTGGTCACTAAAAACGGATTCTCCACCAATCTCCACGATGCCAAGGGCAAGTTTGGTAACATTATTACTATGCAGAATATGATTGGTGGATTTATGCTTCAGCCATGCAAGCCCACTTTCCTTAGTGCTCGTGATGCTTTTATTGCATCTGATGTTGCTCACTACAATGGTGCCAACAAATGCGAGATCTGGAAAGGATTTGCCAAACGCGGTCTGGGAGTCAAGGCTGCTAATAGTACAAACGATTTCTCAGTTCCTGATGAATGCGGTGGTGGTACTTCATCGTCTAGCAGTGTTTCTATTGCTACAACCACAGAATCTACCACAGTAGAGTCTGCCACAACTGTTCAAGCTACCACAACTGTATAAGTTACCACAACTCATGGTTTCTAGCTCACCAAACATTTATTTCAACTATGCTGGAAAAAGTTGGAATCAAGACTAGATGCTCAAGTCTAGTAATTGTTTCCCACAATTTATTGAATAAAGTATATTGTAACAATGTATAAACAATCTGTATTGGTAACGGCTATTTGTGTGAGGATCACAGCCATGAGGACCTTGGATTAATTACCTTGCGGTTACACAACACCCTAAGGACTGATATTAACCTCCTTATGACCGATCGAATCCCTAAGGACTCATGTTGACCGCCGTAGGGACACGCAACTCCATAAGAACCTGTGTGAACCCTTTACGGCTGTACTCTTGTTGAGGTCTATAAATAGACCATACTTGTCATGTATGTTTACTTCAGTTTTATCAATAAAGTTCCTTGATCCTAGTTAGTAACAAGCACCTGGTTTCCCTTCGCCTTATTTTGCGATTAAGTACTTCCTGACAATTTGGTGTGTATGGCTTTGTGAAAAGTAATGCCATTAGTTTAAACTCGAATGAACACGGCACACTTGC